CCTCTCTTTTGCTTCTTTCATCTAAATTGACTCCAACAAGTGGTATTTTTCAGTGCATCGACTCTGAGGGATGAGCCCTTTCCAAAATCTGTTTTTGTCATCATAAAGCCAAAATCATGCACGCTGCATATTCAGCATTCACGGAAGTTACTCCCAGCGCAGTGGGAGGAAACGACACGGCTCCGTCATCTTTACCCTTTGCTTTGGGATTTAAGCCTTTGCTCTCTGTGGTTGTGGGTCAGTGACTGAAATAAAAAGTGCACAATAAAGGCGATCAATGAATTATGAATGAATTAAAGAAAGGGGAAGGATACCACAACAGAGAGAGTTATTAAGATTATTCTAAATTCATCAATACATTCATAAATAAAACAATAACTACCATACATATATTTTAAGCGCTGTAATATTGTAAAACCATGTTTCTCCAACCAAAATCAAGCATTGCTATATTAGCTATATATAGTCTATATACGTCTTCTGTCATGCTTTATGTCATTTTTCTCCAAATCCTCTCTGCTCCAACTTACAGTGCATTTTTACCAAGACAGCTGGTTTCCAAGGGAACACTCTGGACTTCAATTAAACCAGGATCTGGATCAGTGTGACCTTCTGTCAAGCCATTCTCAGAACACAATTCAAAGTACATAGAAAACCATGTAAACACGCACTGTCATGAGTTTATTGTTACATCACATAACATCAACTTGAAGACTTTACATCTTAAAAGATGATGTACCACAAGCTTATTGAATTACAGCTGATGGAGGCTGAGGACATGAATACTAAATAGGTTTGACTGCCACAGCACACCTGGATGTGTGAAGGATGCGCTGTTTTTTTGTTTTTTTTGTTTTTTTTTTGCCAGAGCTCGGTTATTAATAACCGCCTGTAAGCCCAGTGCCTCGGTGGCCATTGTTCATTAGGTGTTCTGCAAAGATAAACAAACAAGAAATGTCCTCTTCAGACTGCAAATACTAAATAGAACCCACGCACAGTCAGTGTTGTGAAAGTACATTGTCAAAATGTGTTGACAACATAGGTATAGAGTACCTCTCAGTGGAAGCTGAACTGTGTACAGAATTATAGTTCTAATGTTTAATCTACATATGATTACGTCTGGTGAGAGCTGATCACGACGTTACATCACAGTATGAATCACATGAAAATGGATTTTTGAGATGAAAAGCAGGTTGTCCTTAATTCTAACACAGCTCTTCATTGATTAGATGATGACGCCCCTCACTGTTTGTACCTTCAAAGCCCCCCCCCCCCCTCAATAAATAAAGTGAATAACTAAAGTAAAGATGTACATGCAAACTGAAAGCAGGAAGGTAGAATCAGATTGTCCTGAGGCTGTGGCATCTCCACTTAAGTCAATGAAGAAGACTCCCCTGCCCTTCCTCCTGTTGTTGCATGGAGGACTGTTTTCCTTGTTAGTCCAGGAGTCACCATGACCTACAAGAGTAAGTAGAGCAAAGGTCAACGCCACTGTGTCCTGGAATACACTGAAGAAATATTCTTGCATGACTAGAATGCAAAGACTTTTTTTTTTCAAATAACCTCACCTTTAGTATATACAATGTACGTGGTAAATTTATTGTATGTTTATTTGTATAGGGATCAGCGTATAGCATGACCCAGTATCCGTTAACACAGCATTTATAGCCTAAGCTAATATACAATGCCAGTCTCTGCATAGGCCTTTAAAATACATAACATACAACAAAAATATCCATAGTGAACTTCATATTCTTTAGTTGTGGATATAGGTAGAGCTTGGCAATGACATAAAGACAGTCAAGGAGCCGTGGAATGTTGTGTCAATGCAAAGGATTAAAAAAATCATATTGCACAAGGTTAACTTCAGTTTGAATCCAGTCTGACAAAGCAATACTGAATGAAACTTTAAAAGAACTGGCAAAAGTTGTCTCCTAGACTCCTCTGATTTGTATTCCTCTGTGTTAGATTGTGATATCATGTAATATTAATTCCCCTCAAACAGAAGCCGACAAAATGAAGGCGTCCCTGAGTCTGCGCTGTCACAATAGGCATCAGTTTAGAGAACAGTGGCTCGAGTACAGACGTCGTACGGAACTGAAAATCCTCGCTTGTTTTCAGATTTGTGTGATTGTTTCAACTGCTTCCCCATTCTTTTAGTAAATCCTCCAAGTTCTGACAAACAAAGACAAAATGGGTCCTCAGAAAAACAGAGGGGCTCTCCATTTGGAAGCAGGGGGAGAACAGCATGACTCCCCAACTGCTGTGTGTTTGGATGAAGCTGTTGGAGTGTGAATGCAGGGCGGAGAGAAGAAGAGCATAAACATCTCAATCTCACTTAGTAACTGCATGTCTTAATTAGCGAATGACTAGCATTCCCTGGAATATTAACAATATACAACAGGTTTGAAAACATTTTCACTCATGATCTACATTCATTAATGAATTAAAGGAAAGTTTTCCTTTAGATTTATGTTGCAGAAAGACATCTTCTTGTATCATCAGGATCTCCAGGGTGTCTTTTTTTTTATCAGTAACCCAGCAGGCGCCCAAAAGGTGCCCCCTTAATTCCAAGGAAAATATCAACATCACCAAACCCTAAAAACACTGCTATTAATGGAGCATGGTTTCCATTCAGTGTCACTGAGAACAACATTGATTTGAGCGCTTCAAATTATACCATAGCATCTCATCTAAAGTGCAAAAACTGATTAAAGGGGGGGAGCCAGCATAAAATAGTAGCTGAAACTACTCAGAGTTTCAGCCCGGAGGCAGGAGAATGAAGATAGAACATGATTAAATGCCTTAAGGAAATAGGGTGCAAGGTGAAATTTGACTTCAGCTCATGGGGACAGTATCAAGGCACATTAATCTAGTAAGACATTTAATTACATCGATGGCCTGATGAGCAAAAATAAAAATATGACTGAATTGATTCAAATGATGTTTTGTGTGGTTGACTGTTGCCATGGAAAGGGATTTTTTTTTCTTGGAGAGTAAGTATTGAGAGTCTTTGTAAGAGAAGTGTAAATGACTTGGGCAAAAAAAAAGGGACATGAACTATGAATAATAAGCCAGAGAGAAAGAATAGAAAGTGGAGAAACAGAGGAGACAGTGGTTATATAAAGAGAGATCTTGGTGAACAACAAGTGGTGAACTTTTTCTGTCAAGCAACAGTAGAAAAAAAAAGACACCAACTGTTTCTCATCCTTACTTATTTATGCTTAATGGTGTAAGGCAATAAGGGATAATAACTTTTTTTTCCCCCTGGATTACCACCATGATGAGGGACCTTAATACTTGTTCATTCTTACAGGTGTATGTGTGGCGGCGGGGAGAGTTTTTCTGTGATCTTGGCAGGGATTTTCAATGTTGCCTCATTCAGAGACGACAGACATGTCACATTAGCTGTTCCTGCTTCTTTTGTATTTTTCTTTTATTCACTCTTTAGACATGCACTGGGGTCCAAAACCCCACTTGAATGGGAAAGTGGTCTTTTTAATGACCACTATTGAAGACAAAAAATGCAACACCTTTAATATGATGACCTAATTTGAACATAGTGTGATACAAAAAAGCTTTTAATATGTATTGCATTAATCTGCCTGGTTCCTGAACGTTATGGCCTCGGTCACCTACTTAAACGTCAAGAGCATGTAATGGCAATGTGTCTATGTATTCTTGCCATTATAGTTCAAAGTTTAGCAAAGCATGAATCATGAATGACATGAAAACACAAAAGAAGCCAGCAGCAGAGCATGCTGAGTCCAATTAGTTCCAGATCAGAAAAAATGGACTAGAGCGAGGGATGGGCAGAACAAAAGCAAGAAATACAGAGAGAGAGAGAGAGAGAGAGAGAGAGAGAGAGAGAGAGAGAGGTCTATGTGGACCTTATTAGTGCTAAGGTCTGACTGCTCGGTCCCTGCAGAGGAGTGTTATGATGTGCATGGAGCTAGTGGGCAAAGACATTGAATGCTGGTCATGCGTGGCTGACCCCCCTCCACTCTGCAGACCTGCCACCTTTTAACAAGTGATACTTGCAAATGTGGCTCCCATTAGCTTTGAACTGAGTCAGCTGACAACAGTGTCTATGGAGGCCACTGTGCTTTCAGACAGGAATATATCAAACAGACATGTCAGATAGTTGGATTGTTCCCATCATCATTTCATCCCAGCGTGTAGCCCCACACTGCCCCCTACTGGCGCGCTGAGAGGAAACATATCGCTTGTTGAAGTCAATAGATTGCTGAAGGCCTCTATACAGGTTGTATGAAAGAGTATAGGTTTCCCTCATTGCAGTGTGATGCATTCAATCTCTGCATCTGCTGAGGTGTAGCTATCAGCCCCCCACTCCCCCACCCCCCCTGCTGTTGTATACCTGACGCGTGTCAACCCCCCNAGCACACGAGCCTCCCTCCATCAACCCCTCAGCAGGCACTGACAGTAGGGCACGTGTTTCTTCACACCTCACACCCAAATGGCTGCACAGACAGAGATACTGAAAGGTGGAGGGGTTGAAGAGTTCAACTGTTTAATAGATCAAACTGACATTACTCGTTCCATTGATTTTAAATCAAATTAAAATCATGTCACCTGGTTGGCCAATTAGAATAAAATGATACATGTGCGTGCGCTCAAACCCTTATAGAGAGTTACAGTGGATGTAAAAAGTGGGCACGCGTAATGACCATTTAACATCTAATCAAAGATACGCTGATACAGTAATGTTGGAGAAATGTCTCAAACAGGTCAATCTCTCAGGAGGAAATGTTTTTTTTTTTAATTCTAGATTCAATATTAAGAAAGAAAGCGACCAAATGCTGTGAGTTTGCTCAAGTGTGACTTCACACCTCACCATCATTGGCGCATGGAAACACTTGGGGACGCGTCAAAAGCGCAATTTGGCGCCGGCTGCCATGGACCTGATAAATAGGAGGTTTCCTGCTTTCAGCCGCACATCCTCTGAGGACTTGACACAGGACCGACAACCACACGGAGCCATGGAGACTTTGACTACCAGCAGTGGATTAACTTCTGTTTTTACTGGAAACAACGTTACCCACGAGCAGTCCGGCTTGTGGAGACCGTGGACTGGGAAAGAGGAGAGAAAAACTGACGCACACAAGGTGAGTTTAGTTTCCTTTACGTGTTGAAGTCTTTAAAGTCAAACGTGCGTTGTTTAACGGATAAAAAAGTCTAACAAGATCCTCTTTTGTCTTAACTTTCAGACTCCTTCCATGCATGGAAGCCTTTCTGATGCAAACTACCCCAAAATTCCTCAGGTCGTTCACCCAGTCAAGTAAGTAGATCTCTGTTCATTCATTTACACTTATTTACTAAAGTAGTTTATTCCTTTTGTAGGAATATCTTATTCATTCATTCATTTTTCTTTTTCAAGGTTGTACTGGCCGAAATCGAGATGTTTCGATTACCTGTACCAGGACGCAGAGATGCTCCTGCGCAACTATCCGGTCCAAGCGACCATCTGCCCCTATGAGGACTGCAGCAGCGATGAAGACAGCGATGATGAGGAAGAGGAGGTGGAGAAGGAGCTGAATTAAAAGTCTCCCTTTGAAGACAAATTGTTGCCTAATATATATTTCTCTTAATTTATTCCTGTAAATATTTGTAAATAGATCTTTTTCATTTCTAGTTAAGTTATTCCTTTAACATTTCTACCTCTTTTGTATTTTGTTGAGCATTGCAATAAAATACGTTACATGGAAGTCGTTGTCTGGGCCTTTTCTTGTGTGTGCTTATATTAAGATTAGTGTCTCTGGTTTATCTTGTGGCCTTCTGTCAAAATGTCAAACACAGTCATTTGAAGAAACATGCAAACACGTGAAATAAGGTTCCAAAGTGCTCAAACTGCTTGAGTTAATTTATTAGAAGTTTCCAAACTTTGCAGAGTTGACAAATCCGCCCGTTTGTGGCTAAACAGCTTTTTTCCCATAGATAAACTTCGCCATTTCCTGCGCAGTGTCGCCTGAAGTGCGAAAAACTGCGTGACACGTGGAAGGTGTGGAGCACATAAAGATCTGGACTGAGATAGTCAAATGGAAAACGCCTGAGGACCTCCAGTGAAACCACCAGTTCGGACTAAAAATCAGTTATAGTTTCAGAAAATCATGATTTCATATGGTCAATAACATGGTCATACGGGTCAATAACAACACATGTACATTATATTCTAGTTCAAATTTTCGTCACTTCAGGTTTTGCAAAGTAGCAAAAATGAATCAGTCTGCACTTAGAAATACTGGATGAATCCATTACGAGGTCCTGAGGCAAAAATAAGCTGTTGAACCCATAATGACCCCTCCCTCCTCCCACTCCCTGTGCATTACTGTGAACCATCACCTCCACATACACATTATCTGTGCACTGCAGTCTATATATTCCATCTAGTAAATCACCACTACTTCTTGTATGTACAATAGGTTTTGTAAATTAAAAAACAAAACAAAACAATTTGTCTCCTAAAATATTAAAGTTGTTAAAACTGCTGTAGGGCCCTGCTACAGGACGGAGCTACAGGTAAGGAAAAAAACCAATGAAAGAAGATTTTTAAATAAAAGCATTTCACTTGATATTATGCTGTAGTGGTGTATATTCCAAAATTTGGGGAAGACGTTTACAGTAACTTAAATGACAATGAACTAAATGACACACAATGACCCATGGAGTTAGAGCCCCTGTGCATCTAGGGGCCTGGATCAGTTGCCTACTTTGACTGATTAGTAATGCAGCTTTGGTAATAAAACTCCTTTACTGTAATGCTGCAGTCCCAGTTGAGTTTATAATGTAGATATGAAATTATTGGCAAAGAGAGATGAGGTAGTTTTATTGTTTTACAGTCGTAAAGTGGTTGCATTTAAAATTTTGTTGGTAGATGTACTCAGATATTTGGAGTTTAAACCAAACAATAGGTGTCTTGACTACTGATCGATTCTTTGCATATTTCAGGCGAGCATGATGGCTGATTAGAATCAATAGAAGTAAAGAAGAATATGAAGTCATATTCAGTTGAGTGCACAGCACAACTTTACAACCATAATAGATAAAGTGCTTTGCAGACAGAAAATATATTATGTTGTTTAAATATCTGTGCATTTTGCATTTCTGACTTAATGACTTGAACTCTTCAACTTACCCTGGTGCCAACCTTTTCGAGCAGTTCTGTGGGAACCTTTGGGATCATCTTAAGGTGTTTTGCAGGGTGTAAAGTTTACACACCTTCATGATGGGAGACACGCTGGCCTCTGGCTGCGGCAGGGCAGGGGCCGTGCACTGCCACTGAACTTGTGATCTCCACTGCACGGTTTGCCAAACTGACATTTTATCTCTCACACTCACATTAATAAAAAAAGGCCAGAGAGGAGCAGAGATAAGACATTTACCCAGCATCAAGACTACAGAGGTGTAAAGCAACAAAAAACAAGGTTGTACTGAATGTTATTCTGGAGCAACCACCCTTAAATGTTATTCTGAGCATCAAAATAACTTTTAAATATATACAGACTTAATATCAGGAGTTGTGATGAAGTGATGAAGCTCTGATAACCTCTTTAACCCAGGCCTGGACTTTCCCAGGGTTGGGTGTCAGAGCTGGTGGAGTGTCACCTACTTGGGTGTGAAATTTGCTCACCTCCAGAGTTAAATATAAAACCACGGGCTGATGCCCAGTCTGACGAACTTATAACCTTTACTGCACAAAGTTTAGGTCCTGTGAAGTGTAACCCTATAGCACTGGGTTCATTTATATCAGCATAAAAAGTTTCAAAGTAGATGGTGTTGGTAGAAGCTACACATACAGGTGTGAGAGTGAAAGACTGTTGGTTTGAATCCTGGACTGAAGAGGAGAATGTTGGGAGAAAAAAAAGAATAACGTAACAAGACTGGCTTTACTGGGGAGTTTTCTTCTGTGTGTGAGCAAATCCGTGTGAGGAAAAGTGTTACTGGGAAAATGCGAAACACAGTACATGTGATAACTTGACATATTCAAAAGCCATTTTGTGATTTTTGGTCATTACGTGCAATCGCGATTCCCTGCGTGACACTGTGAACTTTGGTGAACTTTGCACAGTTTTCAACTTTTCAGACACATGCCGCCCTTTCCCAGGAGCTATAGTGTGAATGTGGGTGTGAGGAATACACACCTAAAGGGGTGGACGGCGTTCATTCCCATGTTTGACCTCTGTGGTCACATGTGTCACAACTGCCACACACCCTCTTTCTGCCTCCAAACGGTCTTACAGCAGCTAAGTTGTAGCCAGTTTTTAATATAAATATAAAGAGATGGATATCAGTTTCCCCCTTGGTCCGGTCTCATGGTTGTTTAAGATCCACATTTGCAAAGTTATCATTTTCTATGCAATCGTCTCACAATATGGTGATACTCTCAACTGAGTATTCATTATGCAATAATCTTGTCGATGAAGATGTGGTTTTTTGTGATTTTATAATTTGATAATGAAAGCTCATTTGGAGAGTGTGACCGCTGGCATGCCCCTGTGAACTCTGACTGAAGCTTGTGGTGTGATCACAGACACCAGAGGAGGTGACGAAGTGTGACTCCGCCGAGCTGAGGGTGAGCCCGATCCACCGGCTTCCCACAGTCACACCTCTGCTTGTCGCTCGCACAGAGAGCTCGTAGCCTTGTTAGAACCCTTTTGATTGGCAAACTGCTTCTTTTTGAGCGGTTGTGCAACATTGTTGTGTTTTCAAAGGCAGTTCAGCTGTGAGCCAAAGGGGGGCGCTGCGCCTCTGCTGATGAACAAGTTTGTGCTCAAAGAGTGCATGTAGACAGGAAGTGCTGTTTTGTGTGTAGCAGTGCTGATGGCATGCTGTGTTAGTATTTATGTTACTGCAGTGAAAATATGAGTTTAAAAAGTGATTTCCATGCGCTGATGGATGATGCTGTAACAGTAAGTACTGGTTTCCTTTATGTTTTAAAATGAATGATATTCACTATGGATGATGTGGAAGATTTTTTGGTGTATTATTTCCAGACACTGACATATAAGTGCCCATCAATGTAGTAGTGACATAAGATATTAAATGTAGCGTTGTAATGTGCTCATGCGTAGCCGTCTAAGACATACAGCCTTGTTTGGCAGAGTTTGTTGTGTGTACACATGGTGTCACCTAACTGCCCCGACCTTAACAGTCAGATGACTGATGGTCATAACTTTTCTTCTTTCTTTACACTGAAAAGCTGCAGAATCCAGCTGGGGCCCACATCCACTTCTGGTGTGTGTTTCCCTTTTAGTTTGCCTACAATTATTACAGCACAATGTGCATGTTTGACCAACAGATGGGGCAAGAATGCCAAAAGTGAATGTTGAGCTGGTTTTGGTGCCTGTGGTGCAACTTTGCCAACCTTCCACCTGGGGGCTGTGTTGCACGTGTGCAGCAACCAGGAATTTTCAGTTACAGTCTGTAGACAATTCAGACTCCACATAGATAAAAGAACAGAGGATTCTGCATGTTACTTTAAAGAAAAATAAATGCAGACAGAGAATATTAGATATTAGGTCACAGAAAATGTATACTTTATCTCTGTTGCAAAATATATAATAAAAGACAAAGGCAAATTGTTGTGTTAGAAAATGGTTTAAATAAAAAAGTCTGTCACTTTTACAGTATTTTTTTTATCGCACTACAGTAATAAGAAAAAGCAATCTAGAATTTTATAAATTTTAGATAAATTAGATTATGTAGATAAATAACTAGATCCCTCATCAGGGCTTAATTCTGTCAGTTGGACCGAAATTACACATTTCATTATTTAATTGTATCTGCTGTCTTCAACATTAATTGTCTTTCCAAATTTTCTTAATTGTAATTTTTTTGCTAGAAAAGGATGATAACAAATTTTGACTGAATCACAATAGACTTTAATTATACATTTTATAATATGAATATATAAATGATATTTTTTAAATGAAAAACAGAATACAATCATCATCTGAATTTATTTTTTGTCTTTAAAAGACATTTATTCAAATTTTTATAACTTTATTATTTTCTTTATTTTATTATTTTAGACTTATATTATTATTATTGTATAGTTTGTTATACTTATTATTTATTTATTTTCAGATTTTTGTATACATTTATATTGCAGATTTCTTTTCTTATGATAGTGTAATTTAATTATTTTAATATAGCTCCTACACCCTCAAGAAACAAATCCTTTCACAGCACTGCACATATAAAGCACCTGTCATTCATGCATTTCTCCCAACAACGTGATGCACAAACACCAAACAGATGTGATTAAGTCGGTAATGAAACAGAGGACAGGAAGCATAAATCTGTCAGTGGAGTGAACCCCTTCATACGTATTTCTCTGTCGAGTGAGAGAAACCACAGAGTTGCTCCGGCTCCTCTCAGCACATAAACATTCTGGCTCACGCCGCCGTCTAAGAGATATAGCTGTTGTGCTTTTCTACTCCTTGTTATCTCACCCTCCACTTAAATAGTTAGTTTGGTCTCCTCTCTCTGAGATGTGTGCAGTGGAGATAATTACAATTTCAGCAACGTTTGCCAGGTGATT